TGTGTGGCTGCTTGTACTAGTCCGGACTGATGCCGATTTATAGTGCTAGCACACTGAGATACCATGTCGCAGGTTAACATGAATACCCCCCTCAGACACAGTATACTGACTCCGAGCCGACCAGTCCTTGTTGTAGCCTCTTAATGCCGAGCGCCAGACAGGGTGACAACAAGTACCATCTTTTAACGTCTTTTGGTATGACGCGACTGGGGATCGAACCCCGGACCTTCCGCTCTCCGGACGGACGTTCTACCATTAGACCAGGGAATCCAAAACAAAACATCAGACACATGCAACACCCGATTACCGCCGGTAAATACTACATAACATCTCCATGTGGGACCATAAGCTTACAGCAGATCGGCGATATTTTGCCACGTTCATGACAGCAACGAGCACGGGTATTGCACAGACAAACCGAGAATCAGGGCGAATCTATGCATGCGTGCATGCGCGCGTGCGTGCGTGCGTGCGTGCGTGCCGGTTGTACAGTGCTAGCTCACTGAGATACCATGCCGCAGTTTAACATGAATACCCAACTTAGCCACAGTATATTGACTCCAAGCTGATCAGTCGTTATTTAATCCCTTTTATACCGAGCGCCAGGCAGGGCAACAACAAGTACCATCTTGGAACGCCTTTTGGTATGACGCGGCCGGGAATCGAACCATCGACCTTTCGCTCTCCGGGCAGACGCATGTGACAAAAATATGGATTTAAAACTGCTGTTTCTGCTGTCACTAGGCAATGTCAGCAACGACCTGCGGCTAGTTACCACATAGAAGTATTGTTTTGGCGCTAAACATTACAAATATATCCGAGACTGTTGTAAGCTGCAACGACTCTGGCGTAATGTCTGTAGAATATATAAATACGCCAAAAGTCGATAAGTAAAAACCAAATATGTACAGGTAGAAAAATCGTTTAAAGGAAAACAGTTTCAGCGTAGGCTTATTTTTTCCGTCAAAGCTTCAGCTACCTTGGATGTATACACCCCCTGGTAAAACCACTTCTGGAACTATTGGGGATATTGATGGCGGGTAACCATGTTAGACTCAATACAACACCAGTAATGGGCGGGACGATTTTTTTGGTTCATTTTGGCTTACATAAAATATGAGTGTTTAAACACAACTAAACAGTGTTGCTAGGTGGCATATGTCATTATATGCGCCGTGAGCAATGAAGGTAAAACATATTCGCGAACGGACGAAGGTGTTGGACGTAAAGATAGTTATCGAGCTATTAAAGAAGGCTGGAAGACCGTATTGTTAAACTTTTTGTTTGGATAATTAATTAAACGAAAGCCTTTAATAGGAACGGATATTAATTGTATATCAATTTAATTTTTCAGCACCCATAGATCTATATCCATATTCCTTCAAGTAATTGTACAACCAAGAGTCGCGTCCCTTAAACGTGCCAGAATCCTATGATCGTTGGTCCGTATCCTGAATTCGACTTGACTGTGATTCTTGGTTTACAAGCACTGTGCTTGTTTCACCGAAGAGGTACACGCCTATCTCTACGACACACACACACGCATACGCACACACACACACACACACACACACACACACACACACACACACACACACATGCACATGCAGCAACTGCACGAGTCTCTACTTCTTTATTTACAACGTTGCGACGTTTCGGGATAGAAAGATAGTGAGTGAGTGAGTTTGGTTTAACGCCGCTTTTAACAGTTTTCCAGTTATATCACGGCGTGTCGGCTTAATGTAGGAGAAAAGCCCGAAGTGATGCAGGTCGTAGACGTTTACCACCTCAGTGAAACCCACGAGCACGAGTATGGTGCTGACAAACCTGGAACATCATCGGGGCGAACCGGGATTCCTAGGTTTCTGGCGTGCCCAAGGGACGCAACTCTGCACAACTCTATTATCGTCTCGTCTGTGCACTTGTAAGCATACTTTGGCACGTACTCAGGAACCAGTACAAATGGTTGATGCTACACGGGGCAGCCGGGTAGTCTAGTGGCTAAAGCGCCGAAGACGCTGTGTGAAGCCCATTTCTGGTGTCCCCACCATGATATTGCTGGATTATTGCTAAAAGCGGCGTAAAACCCAACTCACTCACTCACTCACTGATTCTACACCAATTGGAATTAAGATGGCAATTTGGCTTCATTTATTTTTCCTAATAACATGTTATTTAAGCGACTCCTTACATTTGCCTGAGAGTTGCGCCAAAGTAATAGAGACATTTGTTGCCTAGTGGTTAAAGCGTTTGCCCGTCACGCCGAAGACCAGGGTTCGATTTTCCTCATGGAGGGGGTACAGGTGGCCCAGTCGTCTAAGGCGCCGCGATTCGCTGTGCAGAGTTGCGTCCCTTGGGCACACCAGAAACCTATGATTGTGGGTTCGAATCCCGGTTCGCCCCGATTATGTTTCTAGGTTTGTCAGCACCACGTGCTCGTGGGTTTCACCGAAGTGGTAAACGTCTAAGACCTGCATCACTTGGGGCTTTCCTCCCAAATTAAGCTGACACTTCGCGATATAACTGGAATACTGTTTAAAGCGGCGTTAAACCCAACTCACTCACTCACTCCTCATGGATACAACTATGTGAAGCCCACCGTTGTTTCATGTCGTGTTACTTCTGGCGTTAACGAGAGACCACATACCGACGTCGGAAAAAATGGCCTCTGCATAAACGCAGTTCAAACCCCTATGAGTCATCGAAATCAGTGACCACTGAATTCGTCTAAATAAGACGAAACTCGTGGCTACGAATTTGGAGTTAATGTCTCGGACCTTAATTCTGCCAATCGTGAGGACATCAAAACTGAGCTGATCAACCACGATCCTATGTATAGCCCAACACAAGACACAGATCAATTTACGTTCACCGCATTTGATCCTCATTAGTCACGAGGTTGTGATTATTTCCCTTTTCACTAATTTATCAATAGGCTGTTCATGATGTTCACATTAGCGATACTGAAACCGCCTCCGTTGTCTAGTGGTGGAGCATACCCGGAGAGCGGAAGGTCCGGGGTTCGATCCCCGGCCGCGTCATACCAAACGACGTTAAAAGATGGTACTTGTTGTTACCCTGTCTGGCGCTCGACATTAAGGACTAAAACAAGGAATAGTCGGCTCGGAGTCAGGACACTGTGTCTTAGTTGGGTATTCATGTTAAAGTGCAGCATGGTATCTCAGTGGGTAGCACTATAAAATCAGCATTAGTGCGGACTAGTACAAGCAGCCACAGACATCTGCATGCACATCGCTATTCAAGTGAAATCATCTTAAACGCGACGTTAAACCCAATTTCACCTCATCCTCACAATACTGAAATCAATAATACGTACAAAATGGCTACCCTGATAAAAAACTAAAACTGCGTAACTAAAAATACATTCCCAATCCATTAATGATCGACAGTATTGGTTGTGACAATGTTAATGTATATTCGTGACGAATGAAATATACTCTCCAAAAAAGTAGAGGATATTTAAAAATAACAGATAATTACAGAAATACAAAATGGTATCGAGTGATGGATGGATAAGAAAGAAGAAGAACCAGGTGGAACATGACATCAACATGTTGTCGGTGTACTGAAAGGGGGCACACAACCAAGAGGACGACACGGGCATGTAGTGAGAAAATGAACTTTTGAGATGACTTGATCAATAATGGGTCATGCCCCCACGATTGGCCAAATGTTTGTTACGCTATGCATCTCCATCGTATTTAGACACATCCACATGCGACCCCTTCCGTGGTCTAGTGGTAGAGCGTCTGCCCGAAGAGCGGATGGTCGGGGTTAAATGCCCGGCCGCGTCATACCAAAATGCGTTGAAAGATGGTTCTTGTTGTTACCCTGCCTTGCGCTCGTCACTAAGGGGCTCCAACAAGGACTGGTCGGCTCGGAGTCAGTATACTGTGTTTTAGTGGGGTATTCATGTTAAACTGCGGCATGGTATTTCAGTGGACTGGCACTATAAAACCGGCAGTAGTCCGGGCTAGTACAAGGAGAGATAGTCACACACGCGTAAAAGACAGTACTTTTTGTTTCCCTGCCCGGTGCCCGGAATTAAGGGGATAAAACAATGACTGGTCGGCTCGGAGTCAGTACAATGTATCTGAGTGCGATATTGATGTTAAACAGCGGTATGGTATCTCAGTGGATTAGCACTATTAAATCGGCATAGGTCCGGACTTATACAAGTAAGCAGAGTCCCCCCCCCCCCCCCCACACACACACACACACACATACACACACACACACACACACATACATGCATGTCCCTATATACAGTAAACTACGGTTATAACGAACTCAAAGGGACCTCTAATTTTAGTTCGTTATAACCGTAGTTCGTTTTAAGCATATATACAGCATAACTACAGCAAATAGTCAGGACAAAAAAGTAAGTTCGTTATATCCGTCAGTTCATTATAAGCGTGTTCGTTATAAACGTAGTTTACTGTAAGTGCAAAAATCTTGAACGTTCAACCCCATTTCCCCTTCATCTTCCACGGGGCGGTCGGGTAGCCTAGTGGTTAAAGCGTTCGCTCGTCACGCCGAAGACCCGGGTTCCATTCCCGACATGGGTACAATGTGTGAAGCCCATTTCTGGTGTCCCCCGCCGTGATATTGCTGGAACATGCTAAAAGCGGCGTAAAACCATACACACTCACATTCATCTTCCACACATCCGTACGCTCGTGACATTTATGGCCTATATACAGTCCTATTGCAACAGTTAAGCATCTTATATACATAACACGAACGATTTACATTTCCGAGAATTCAGAATCAATGTTCAAGTCATCCATCGGACCACAAATTCCTTTTTTATGTTCATGATTCTGAAACCAGCAAAGCCCCGCCTTTTGGATTACATGTAATTGCACTGGATGTAGGCTCGTGTTCTTTCGTCGCTATGGCAACAGATAATAGACATGCACTGTATCAAGAAAGAACTGATTTGAATAATGTCCACGTGGCAGGGTGTGTTGTGACTACGCGGGTACATATAGAAGCGATGCCTGCTTCATCAGTTATACCAGGGGATGCAACGTGTCATCATGGCATCCATTGTCCGACCATTCCTCCAAGGTAAGTCCGTGTTCACTGGCAACAAAGTACCTTCCGTCTAATTACAAGTTTCATCATTGCATATCTGAAATGTGTTTACTTTTAATAATATAAACAGGCTGTTTCTCGTGCAATAGCATTGAAAACATGCGTCGAGCGTCTAATTTGTTAGCTCACCTTCACACCGCTATGTTACATATTGTTATGGGTTTCAGTCCATCACCAACCGTCCCTTAACACAGATTATGAAAACGTCTTCTTCTTCTTCTTCTTCGGTCGGGTAGCTTAGTGGTTAAAGCGTTCGCTCGTCACGCCGAAGACCCGGGTTCGATTCCCGACATGGGTAAAATTGGTAAAATCTGGTGTCCCCCGCCATGATGTTGCTGGAATATTGCCAAAAGCGGCGTTAAACCTCACTCACTCCATCACTCACTCACTCACTCACTCACTCACTCTTCAGACCACCTCCGTGGTCTAGTGGTAGAGTGTCCGCCCGGAGAGCGGAAGGTCGGGGTTCGATCCCCGGCCGCGTCATACCAAACGACGTTTAAAGATGGTACTTGTTGTTATCCTTGCCTGGCGCTCGGCATTAAGGACTAAAACAAGGACTGGTCGGCTCGGAGTCAGTACACTGTGTCTTAGTGGGGTATTCATGTTAAAGTGCAGCATGGTATCTCAGTGGGTAGCACTATAAAATCAGCATCAGTCCGGACTAGTACAAACAATCACACACACATGCATGCACATCGCTATTAAAGTGAAATAATCCTGAACGTGACGTTAAACCCCATTCACCTCACCTCATAATACTGAAATCAATAATACGTACGAAATGGCTATTTTGATAAAAAACTAAAACTGTGTAAATTAGCATCACTCAAGACTAGTACATAGTTATATAAGTGCAATACTCTTGGACGCGACGTTAAACCCATTCACCTCACCTCTTCTTCAAATTTACCGTTCCACTTGATACTACCTTCAACAAAGGATGCGTTTTATTTCTTCTTCTCCTTCTTTAAATTTACCGGTCTAGTTGATACTGCTTTCAACAAAGGATGCGTTTTATTTCTTCTTTAAATTTACCGGTCTGCTTGATACTGCCTTCAACAAAGGATACGTTTTATTTTTTCTCCTTCTTCTTCTTCAAATTTACCGTTCCACTTGATACTACCTTCAACAAAGGATGCGTTTTATTTCTTCTTCTCCTTCTTTAAATTTACCGGTCTAGTTGATACTGCTTTCAACAAAGGATGTGTTTTATTTCTTCTTCTTCTTTAAATTTACCGTTTTACTTGATACTGCCTTCAACAAAGGATGCGTTTTATTTCTTCTTCTTCTTTAAATTTACCGTTCCACTTGATACTACCTTCAACAAAGGATGCGTTTTATTTCTTCTTCTCCTTCTTTAAATTTACCGGTCTAGTTGATACTGCTTTCAACAAAGGATGCGTTTTATTTCTTCTTTAAATTTACCGGTCTGCTTGATACTGCCTTCAACAAAGGATACGTTTTATTTTTTCTCCTTCTTCTTCTTTAAATTTACCGGTCTACTTGATACTGTCTCTAACAAACAAAGGCTACCTTACATTTCTTCTTCTTCACGTTTACTGTTCAGCTTGTTACTGCCTTCAAACCTCGAAGTGGCCGCCGGCAGGTTTGAGTGAAGTACTCAGACTTCACGCCAACTTCTGTAATGTTTGGAGGATTTTAATTACATCATTTCTGAAAACTGAAATAACGTCATTTTGTAAAACTGAAAAAGGTCAGTATGTCAGGTGTCTGAAATATGATGTATGAGTGAGTGAGTGAGTTGGGTTTAACGCCGCTTTTAACAGTTTTCCAGTTATATCACGGCGTGTCAGCTTAATGTGTGAGGAAAGCCCGAAGTGATGCAGGTCTTAGACGTTTACCACTTTGGTGAAACCCACGAGCACGGGTATGGTGCTGACAAACCTAGAAACATAATCGAGGCTAACCGGGATTCGAACCCAAAATCATGTTTCTGGCGAACCCAAGGAACGCAACTCTGCACAGCGAATCGCGGCGCCTTAGACGTCTGGGCCACCCGTGCCCCCAGTGCACCAATGATATTTTCATACTTACAGTGTCAGTATATGGGACGTCCTTCTTGTTTAGCTGACTTGTATACTGTATACTTGTATACTGGCCTCAGTAAAGCTTTCAAGTTTTGTGGGTGCGGTCAGGTAGCCTAGTGGTTAAAGCGTTCGTTTGTCACGCCAAATATCCGGGTTCGATTCTCGACATGGGTACAATGTGTGAAGCCCATTTCTGGTGTCCCCCGCCGTGATATTCCTGGAATATTGCTAAAAACGGCGTAAAACATCACTCACTCACTCAAGTTTTGTGGTAGATATTTGGACAACATTTTCCAAATTTGATGCATCGGTGACCAAAATGATGTCCAATGCAATTCCCTATTTCAGATGAACAATTGACGTGCCTTTGCATGTGTTTGTGACGGGTGCAATCTCATTAAAATCAGATCTTAGTTTTCGCTACCGCTATACAAAGACCTGAGGACATCCCATTACGGGTCACGTCAGAACGACCTTGCGAGAATTTTGACCGACGAATGAAATAACTGACAAGAAATCGACAATAGCCAATCAGAAGGCAGCTTTCTCGAGCTTTACGACACTAGTTTCAAACTGGCGACTACGCTTCGAAACATATTTTGACGTATTCTCGATTTAAAAAATTTAAACTGATAAGAAGAACATTCTGGAATGGCTTATAGATGGCCTAGATTGTATGGATATAATCATAAAACCCGTAACTGTCGTTCGGAATACCCCGTGTTAAATATTTCGTGGTTGCATGATTAGAAAACACATTTCGACTGTCACTTTCATGATCTAGTAAGCAACGCTCTGATTGGTTGGATGAAAGGTCGTTCTGACGTGGCCCCTAATGGGATGTTCTCAGATCTTTGTTTAGCGGTAGCGAGAACTAAGATCTGATTTTAATGAGATTGTGACGGGTGCCACCGATGGGCATGATACTCTCATCTTATCGCGAACACCTGGTATAATACTATTTAACAATAATTCATACACATTCCCATTATATATAGTCGGAATCGTATATCGACTCTGCTTTTAGATTTCGTATGAACATGGAAAGATTTTCTTGCCTTTATCTATTTGTAAGTTCAGGTCTTTACGCATAGAATAATCATACGAACAATTGTTTACCCAAAACACTTGGATAATTTCCCGGCAATATAGTCAAGGTGTATGTTGGAAACTTTTATCAAAACATTCCTATTATATTACTCGGACAGGTGAATTCGAGAGTCTGAAAACTAACTGGACGTGTTTCATATGGCCTTCCGACCCGTGAAGATCCGGGGTAGAATAGGCTTCAACAACCCATACTTGCCGTGAAAGGCGGCTATATTTGTAAGAGGCGACTAACGGGATCGGGTGGTCAGGCTCGCAGACTTGGTTGATGCATGTCATCGTATCCCAATTGCGTGGATCGATGCACATGATGTCAATCACTGGATTGTCTGGTCTAGACTCGATTATTTACAGACCATCGTCATATAGCTGGAATATTGCTGAGTGCAGCGTTAAACAAACAAACAAACAAACAAACAAACAAATAAACAAAAGATGGGACCTTCCATTTCGATTTACTTTTTCAGGCATGTAGTGTAATTTCAATATTTCTTATAATTTGTGATGATTCCTCAATTTATGTGGCCTTCTTTTAAGCATAGTGGAGTCTTACCCTTTTTGGGGCGCGAGTATCACCTGGGGTTTAACGCATGGGCGGTTTCCTGGCGCCCATGCTTGTTGTAGGAAGCGACGGGACAAGATTGTCAGCCTAGGTGACTTGGTTGATGCATGTCATCGTATCATCGTATCCCAGTTGCGTTGATCGAACCTTCGGATGTCTATCACTGGATTGTCTGGTCCAGTCTCGCTTTTTTACAGACCGCCGTCGTATAGCTTGAATATTGCAGAGCGCGGTGCTAAACAACAAACAAAAACTATTAGACCCCTCTCTTCTTTTTCGACGTCATGAAGGATATTTCGTTCTCGTCATACATAGCAAGTTATTGCTCTCTCCGAGCGTGCAACGTTATGCACAACCATACAAATTCACTACATATATCATTATCTCGTTCAGCAGTTAGAGGAAAATAAATTTAACAACGTGTATTTATCGGTGCTGTTTCATTACGTTAAATAAAATCTCGGACAAATCTTAACACTGTATGTTTTTTCAAGCCAGTCTCATATTTGCATGCCGTTAACACCATCAGATAGGAAATGTAAACTTTTGCGTGTGAAAAAATACCACAATTACCGTTTGAGGTAACCCCCCATCCCCTTCCCCCCACAAAATTTTGCCAAATAAAATGCAATCTCAGTGGTCTCAAAATGTTCATGAGAATTGTAGTGTTCCATGCAGTCTGAGCCAGAGCTTTGAACCCAGACATCCGACTGACAAATAACCAATATTACTTATATATTATTGCAGATTACAGAGATATGTCTATCAGTGAGGAAAACATGAATTAAGTTTGCAGCGAGCATCCAATACTTATTCAGCTAGTTATCGATGTTTTTGAGTCTATATATATGTTTATTTCCCTCATTTAAAGAGAGGCGAGGTTGGGACCAACGCTAAGTAGGAGTAGCTGTGATTCAAGTCTTTTAATTATCATAAAACGTCAACGCCAGATAATAACCAGTCTCGATTATCCGCCGAAACAGATTCCATTGGAAGTAAAAGGCAAAATAGGGTGAAACTTTTATGAATGAATCACTGAAACTCTGCGTGAGTGAGTGTGTTGGGTTTAACGCCGCTTATAACAGTATTCCAGTTATATCACGGCGTGTCAGCTTAATGTGGGAGGAAAGCCCAAAGTGATGCAGGTCTCAGACGTTTACCACTTCGGTGAAACCCACGAGCACGGGTATGGTGCTGACAAACCTAGAAACATAATCGGGGCGTCAACTTCCTGAGCTTGGTCAAATGTTATG